TTCCCTTATAGAAGCCAATTGTGTTCAAACTACCGCAACCCCTAAGTCATGCCTATCAGTTGGAGTGACATGGGGTCTTAGAGCTGACACTGTGCTTGCCTCACTGTGTGACCTAGGCAAGTCTCATCCCTTCTAGATCCTGAGGGGAAAGGACTAGGGGGCTTTAGGCTCTGACTCTGGCCACAGTTCAGTCTCATAGTAGCTGACTTGCTCTGTGGCTCCTTTCTGTCTCCCATAAAGATGCTTGTGTTTTCTTGGTTTTGTCCCATGGTCAGGCCCAGCCCTCACCATCCAGCCTGCAACCAGCTTGCCACTCAGACCCTAGGCTCTGCCTCAACTGGTGTCAGCTCTGGTCTGACGAGTTGATTTCCTTCTCCTCCCCAAGATTATTCTCTAGCACACACACACCCATTTTCACCAGCAATGTGTTGACTAATGTTGCCATTGCTTCTGCTAAGTTCCATGTTCCATCTCTCTAGGAAGTATTGGTGAATGTTTCTTTCCTACTAGCCACCACCAAGTAACCCCACTGAGGCACAATATTACTTATAAATGTTCAGCCAATAGCTCAGGCTTATTACTAACTAACTCTTACAACTTAAATTAACCTGTTTCTATTTAACTATGTCCTGCCCCAAGGCTCATGTCTTTTTTTTCTCCAGCATGTCTTGCTTACTCTTTATCTGTCTGACGACTCATTCTCTGACGCCACCCTTCTTCATCCCAGCATCCTTAGTTTGGTTGTCCCATCTGTACTTCCTGCCTGGCTGCTGGCCAGACAGTTCTTTATTAACCAGTGAGAGTAATATATAGTCACAGTGTACAGAAGGATTATTCCACAGCAAAGAACTCTGTGAATGAATGAGTGAGAAGTGAACGAGTGAGGGATGAGTGAGTGAGCGAGTTGTTGGCCTGGCCTGGCCCATACCGAGCTGCCTCTCCTGTCTGCTACCTCTGTTGCCCTGCCTGTAGGCTTTTGCAGATGCCCCTCCACCTGGTGTCCCTTCTTCTCCCTTGTCCTTCAGGATGATGTAAGTATTCCCTTTGAGACTAAGTTTCTAGGGCACCTCTGGCTTTGTTGTTCATTTGTTCCGTCACCTAGTACGTCTCCTGCTCTCTGACACTGCAGTAAATGCTGCAGAAATTGACATCTTAGAGTTTGGGTGAACTGGAGAAGAGAGGCAGTAGGCTGCTGCTGGGCTAGCTAGTAGTCTGTGTGCATCAATCTGATAAAACTAGAGAGACAATTTCCCTGCTAGACTGACCAGTGGGAAAGCTTGTGGTGCATTTTATTGGTTGACAATTAATGTGAGAGGCTCCAGCCCTCTGTGGACAGTCCCACCCCTGCGGTGGCGGTCCCAAGTTCTTTAAGAAAGCTGGCTGAGCAAGCCAGTAAGCAGTACCCCTCCATGGCCTCTGCTTCATCCCTGCCTCTAGGTTCCTGCCCTGTCTTTCTTCAGTGATGGGCTGTGATCAGAAAATGTAAGCTGAAAGTTCTTTCCTCCCATGTTGCCTTTGGTCCTGGTATTTTATCACAATAGTCAGGACTCTTTAAGGCAATGTATTTCGAAACTCTCAAGCCCTCAGGTGATCTGTCCTAATCTTTGACTTTCTTTCCCCTCACTTTACATTGCTTCTTGCCTAGGAGTCCTTCTGCAGAGCTGTTGCCTGGGCCCTTTTTCATAGCTTTCAACCTCTGGTGAAAACAATGATTTGTTTTCTTCCTAATGGGCCAGGTCCCAGTAGCTAACAGGTACTCAGTAAAAGCTGTTGAATGAGTGGATGAATTGAGTGATTGGCTGATAGTTGAAAGCATTTTCCATAAATCTCAGAGATCTGTATACACAATTTTCTTTACCTTGGGCCAGGTGTGCAGATGTTAGCATGGAAGAGCCCAGACCAGAGTCTTAGTGCCACAGATTGGTCTGGATAGCAGCAGTTTGGCATCTAGACCTGTTAGGTGCTGTCAGGCATGCATTCCCTGTGTCCGAAGTTTGCACACCATGTTGCATGCCAGCAAAGTTCCCACCGTGGTGGCATAGCATTTTTATTCTTGCAGCGGGTCAGCCTGGAGCTTTGTGATCAACATTGTCTATTTGCAGTGGCTCATAGTTTGGGTCCCTTGTACCTTGGTTCATTGTATGTGCACATATATATGTGTAATGTGTAGTATATTCACATCTGTGGTGTATTAGGTCACATGCTTGTACATGTACCAGAGGAAGACATTGAATGTCCTTCTGTTGTTGGAGCTGCGGGCCTGCTTTTCGTCCCGCCTGGCTCCTGCACGGCTAGCTTTACACCAGAAATAACAACACACAAACTATATTCTTTTAATCACTGCTTGGCCCATTAACTCTAGCCCTTACAGGCTAATTCTCATATCCCGATCAATCCATCTCTAATAATCTGTGTAGCATCAGTCTTACCGGGAAAGATTTAGCATGTCTGACCTGGCGGCTTGCTTCATTGCGTCTGCCCGGGAGAGGGGAGCATGGCCTTTGTCTGAGGCCTCTACCCCAGAGAGGAGAGTCTGAGCTCACTTCCTCTTCCTCCTAGCATTCTGATCTGTTTACTCCACCCACCTATGTTCTAACCAATAAAATGGGCCAAGGCAGCTTCTTTATTAGCCAATGACCTTCCTCCATCATCCTTCTCTATCACATTCCAACCGATTCACTTGAGAAGACAGGTCTCTTTATGAACTAGACTAGTCGCCAGCAAGCCCTCCTGGTTTCCTGTCCCTGCTGTCATGCCACTAGGGTTACAGGCAGTTAATAAATAATGAATGACTATTCCTGGCTTTTTACATGGGTTCTAGAGTTTTGAACTCAGGTCCTCATATTAATGAAGTAAGAACTTTGACCCACTGATCCATCCCCTCAGCTCTTGGTTGATCTTTTTCTTTTTCTTTTTTTAAGGTACTTATGTTACAGAATGAAATCCATTCTTTGGGTATAGTGTTCTATGGGTTTAGATCAGTGCATAGAATCATGACTACCATAATGGTTATAATAGGGATAATTCCATCATCCTTGTTTCTCTGGTTTTGCCTCTTTTTGTCAATTCCCGTTTCACCCTCCTCAAGCCTAGAAACCCCACATTTGGGGTTTGCTTATGTCCTTGTAAGTTTGCCCTTTTTGATTTTTTGGAGACATATAATATGCTACCTTTGTGATGTGGCTTCTTTCAGTTAGCAGCATGCTTATGATAGTCATCTGTTTTCTGAGTTCATAGTTTGTTCCTTTTGTTGTGTGGATATGCCACAATCTGTTTGTCCATCCACCAGATGGTGTATATTTTGGCTTACTGACAGTTTTTAGCAGCTGTGAATAAAGCTCTATGAATATTCACGTACAAGCTTTTGTGTGACCGTAGTTCTTACTCTTCCTGGGCATGTATGAGAAATGAGGCGGTAGTGTCACCCGATGACTGTATGTGTGACTTCATAAGGAACTGTGTGTGTCCACCACCGTTTGTGAAAGTTTTAGTTGCATTATACCTTTGTCAATACACCATACTACAAGATAAAACATTACTTTCTAAACTGAGTACAGTGGGCATACCTGTAATTTCAGAATCTAGGAGACCGAGGCACTGTGGTCATAGTAAACTCAACACCAACCTGGGCTACATAGAGAGCCCTGTTTCAAAAACTGAGTAAGTGACTAACACCCATCTTAATGGATGTAACATCTGGTTTACAGTGTACAGTTGCTTCCCGGATGGTGGCAGAGTTAATGTGACTAGTTGTTTGGCAAACACACCATCTGTAAGTATACCGTCCATAGTTATACTTAAATTGGGTTTCTTGAGGTGAATTTTTAGCAAATAGGTTTAGAGTAAAAGAGCAGGGGCTTGCCCATCCTTCCCAAAAATGTTGGAGAAAAGTGTTATATCTCATCATTCTCTAATCTTAGACTTAAAAACAATTTCTTATCCATTAGGCTAAAATCTTTTATTAGAATTGCTGTTTGCTCAGATCAGTCATGAAGCAAGAGCTGCTCGTCTGTGACTGAAGTCTTCCTCTGTCTGTCTGTTTGTCTGTATCTGTATCTAAAGTGCTGTTGTGCATCTGTGAATTCTTGGTGCATGTGAACGCGCACTGTGCAGTGGTGCAATGTGGAAGTCAGAGAACAAATTATGGGAATTGCTTCTCTCTTTCCACTTTGTGTGGGTTCAAACTTAGGGCTTCAGGCAAAACAATAGTAGAAGGTTCCTTTCTAGAGCCTGTGCCTGCCTCTGCCAGAGGCTCTTGACTAGGCTTATAGTACTAGGCATGGCTTCCCTGTTAGGAAGCAGGTCTCAAATCCTAACAAAAAGTGTTTGGTTACTGTCTTAGTTAGGGTTTCTCTTGCAGTGAAGAGACACCATGACAGCTCTTATAAAGGAAAGCATTTAATTGAGGTAGTGGCTTATAATTTCAGAGGTTTAGTCCATTATCATCATGGTGCAGCATGGTGGCTAGGAGTATGGTGGCATGCAGGCAGACATGGTGCTGGAGAATTCTACATCTTGCAGGCAACAGGAAGTGGTCTGAGACACTGAGTGTTGCTTGAGCATATATGAGACCCCAAAGCTTGCCTCCACCGTGACTTATCCTTTGGGGGCCATTTTCTTTCAAACCTCTACAATTCCTCCCGTCATAACCTTGCCAACCTTGCAGCAGTTCACATATTGTGGTTGGTGTTGTACCTCTCGGGGTTCACATCTGTAATACTGCAGTTGGCTTTTCTCCCCTAGCAGCCTAGCCTAGCAATCTGAAAGCTAATTAGCAGGAAGAATGCTTGCGCTCAGTTCAGCTTTGTTTCTCTGTGTTCTGTATCTGAAGTGTGCGGTTAGTTTTCCAGCAGTAAGGCTTTACCATCGTGTTCTCCTGGACAACCAAGTTGCTCTCTTCTTAATGCTGTTCTCTTCCATGTGTGCAGTTAGTACACAGATGCTTTTTAGGTCTTTATGTTACTCGTGGCTATAACAAGGTTCCCCTTCCCTCATTCTAGGCTCCTAATCGCGAGCTCATGACTTACTGGCTACAGGAGCTTCAACAGAAAAGATGGGAATATTGCAACAGCCTCGACATGGTGAAATGGGACAGCAGGACTTCCCCAACTCCTGGAGATTTTCCTAAGGGCCTGGTAGCCAGAGATAACACAGGTAAGACACAGGGGAAGGGGGGAGCTCCATGTGTTCTTTCGGGGTAGCCATTTGACACAGCATTTCAAATTAGCAGAGAGTGGAAGTGAATTCAGAATGAAAATAATGATAGTCCCTTATGAATGGACTGCAGTCTACCATGCCAGGTGAGAGAGCCATTTTCAAGCTAGTGCTGGCCTGGGTGTCAGACAGGGCTAATACCAAGCATATTGTAGAGATGGTGGAGGGCAACACCTGTGTATAACTGAAATCATGACCCACAGCATATACCTTCTGATCTGGCTCCAAGGCTAGCCTAACGTCTACCATAACTAAAAACGGAAGTCTACTCACCTAAATATTCATGCTTGGGCCAACTTCCTGACACATTGTATTTCGAATGTGCCAAGAAAGTAACCGCATTCCACTGGTTGTTTTCTAGTATTTCTTAGGAAGGCCTTAAAAGCCAAGCACTGATTTGATTTTTTTTCCAGATTCATGGCATTTTCATAGGTCCTAGTTTGTCCTGGTCATTTGCACCCTAGAGAGGGTGTAATTTTGTACTTGAAAAGCAAAACTTAAGCCCCATGATCTTCTCGTGATTGTTGATTGTATTGAGTCCTCTATAAAGAATGGGACAGTTATTTGTAGGTCATCTTACAAACCTGCCTCTCCCCCTCTGAAGGCTATAATGTGAGACCGTTTCTTGTGGCTCCCTTTGTTAGCTTGTTAGAACAAGCCTGGAGCTCTAAAGTGAACTCTAAAATGGCCAGGGGCATTGTACTAACAATTTAAAAATTATATTTACATGTGTGTGTATGTGTGTATACGTGTGTGCATGCACCTGTATGTACTACAGTGAGCATGTGGAGGTCAGAGGACAATTTTCAGGTGTTACTTCTCTCTTTCTACCATGTGGTTCTTGGAGATGGATCCAAATCAGGTCATGAACCTCAGCAACAAGCATGTTGACCCACTGAGCTATCTTGCCAGCACTGCAGTAGCATTCTTAGTTAGGCTTTCTTACTGAGATAAGGTCTCACTGTGTAACCTTGGTTAGCCTGGAACTCACTATTTAGATCAAGAGATCACCTACGTCTGCCTCTGGTTCTGGAGTTAAAGGTGTATGACACCATGCCTGGCCTGTACTAACACTACAAAGGAATGCACGTAACAGTTAAAACCAGTACAGGGTTTGTTCTAGCATTTCTGCGAAGAGCTGTGCTCTGCACTCTGGAAAGTAAGTGGGGCCCTCTGCTCGGCAGAGCAAGGGCAGTGGCATCTGAGTTCTGGGCACTTGGCAGCTGTTAAACTAGGATTTTCCTGCCGTGCTTTTCCTGGCTGGGCATTTTTCAACAACTGTCCATACGAATCAGTCAGAGGATCCTACCTGATACTGCCTGTGTTTGTATCTGTGGATGATTTCCTGGGAGTCTTTGTCTGGTTCTCCTGGGAGCAGAAGGGAATCCTTTATGTTCAAGTGCATGCCCCTCTCTAGAAAGAACTTCCTGTTAATAAGTTAATTTTTATTTTCATTGTTTTGAGGCAGGCTCTGTAATCTAGGCTAGCCTTGAACTCCTGTCCTCCTGCCTCGTCTATGTGCTTGTACCACTGTGTTGGTTTATGGGGACCTCGGGTGTGGTGGGCAAGCATTCTCCCAACTGAGCTTGCATCTTTATCTTTTTGTTTTGTTTCCTTGTTTTTCTGAAACAGGGTCTCATGTAGCCCAAGCTGGCTTCACGCTCACTCTGTAGCTGAGAATGACTTTAAACTCCTAATCCTCCTGCCTCTGCTCTCAACCTCTAGACAGGTATTTGGAAGTCACTGTTAATGTCTTTTCCAAGACAGAAGCTCTGTATCATATTCAAGGTCTCTCGGGACACTGGGAAGAAACTGCAGCGGCATGGGCAGCTAGTGTCTTATGCCTTTGGCACTGAACAGACTCCCTTGCCTCCACTCTGGGGACACAAATCACTCCTCTCCAGCAAGGACCTAGATGTGTAGCTGAAAGGAGGGCAAAGAGGTCGTACCTAGTCTTGAGTCCCCTGTCATGACTGTCCTGCTCCTTGCAAACCCGAGTGGTGAGGTTGGAGGGCCAGAGTGGCCGTCTCCAGGTCTCATTTGGTTCCCCCTCTGATTTGTGTACTCTAGCTATGGGAATTAGAGTTTGTGCTGTGCTGTTTGCTCATCCAGCAAGTGCCTGAGGTGGGCCCCAGTCTCGTCCTCAAGTGTTCCTATGAGCTAGAGTGTTTGTGCAGAGAAAAGCAAGAAGTGCAAATGGGGGAAGTACAGGGCAGCCTGGGCCCTTGCTGGGCTGAGCTCAGCATTGGGCTTATTGGGGCCTCTCTAAGGACAGATGGCCAGGGACTCCGTCGGTAAAGAGACAGAAAGGGAGAGGAAAGAGCCAGAGAAGGGTCCTTCCGCATTGTCACAGGTCAGTGGGCTGCAGACCTGGAACAGACTGGGAGAGCTTGATGGTTGGCCTTAAAAATTGAGTTGTTTTTTTTTTTTTTAATCTAAAGCACAGTGGAGTTTTGAAAATTATCTGTATAGAAATAACCTTAAATGTCTTCTAAATTCTAGATAGGAAATATAAGGAAGAACAGATATTGAAACCTTGAACCACTGAGCCATTTTCAAAATCGTAGCTATCCAGAAAGTGAAACATTCTCGAGTAGAAAGCCAAGAAGACCAGGGACTGGAGGGATGGCTTGGTGGTGAGAATGCTTGTTGCTCTTTCAGATGACTTCAGTTTGGTTCACAACAGCACCCATGTTGGTCGGCTCACAACTGCTTGTAACCACAGTTCCAGAGGGTCCAGTGCCCATTTCTGGTCCCTGTGAGCACCTGTACATATAGGGCATATACGCACATGGACATATACACATAAATTTTAAAGAGAACTGCATTCCAGGCCCTTTAGTTTCATCATCAGAAGGAAAAACTGGTTAAAAGATACATTTTGTGGTTATATGACAATGTCCTTTAATTTTCTGTCATCAGCTGTGGCTAACTGTGCTAACTCTAGCTTGACTAGATGACTTTTTCATAGCACTGGTTTCCAGGAAACATAAAACTTGTCCTATTGCTGTCTAGTCACCTCCCCCAGCTGAACACTTTGTGGTCTTGAGTGTCCATCCATCATGATTCTCCAGGCACCTAAAGCCACTGTGGGGAAACATAGACGGAATTGACACTTTGCACGCAGAGCTAAGTATTTATCTTGGAAGGCGGTCCTGTCTGGAAGCTTTTTACTGGTCATCAGGCTCTGAACAGGTCACTTACCTATGACTGCAAGAGTATACACTGTGCCATGGAAATGAAATTTGTCCACTCTCCACATCACAGGGATTGGAAGGGAAAACACATGGCTGAGGGTAGAGATATTCTGTACCTGCTCACACAGGCATGCTCACACACGTACCCCTGGTAACGTGACTTCAAATGGGTGAGGATTGTGTTTCACTGCATTTAATAGGAAACTGGATTAACAAGAACGTTATTTCTTTTTCCCACTTATTGGCAGTTCGGTGCTGGAGCTGACTCCCCGGCCATGTCTAACTGTCCCATGCATAGGACTGAGTTCCTGACTCATGCGCACTGTCTCTGGGGCGGCACTCATATCACGGGAGGACCTTTCACAGAGACCTTCCTCTTCTCTCTAGCAGTGACTCTCACATGCTCATTCCTCATGGCTACATCAGATGGTTAGAAGGAAATAAGGAGAGCCAAGTAGTTCAGCTGAGTGTATCCTAAGAAGCACAGACTCTCGGGAAGCAGGGTGGACAGTTGGTCGGGAACTGGCTCTGTCCCATAATTGCCTCTGTTTCTGTGTTTCTTGTCTTTGGAGAAAGACACTTTTGTTTCTTGTGTGGTTGTTCAGTTTTTCAGTCAGGTGTTAGAAAGGGGGATGATCTTCTTCCTCTATGTGTTCTCTGTCATCTCTTCACAGCCTGGCTTCTGAGGTGGGCCTTAGACACCACCCCCACCCATTGTCTGCCAGAGTCAGTTGGACAAGGACCTAGCTTCGAATTATTGCTTTGGAAAGATAAAATCAACTGTCTACATGTAGAGATCTTCATAGCCGTTAGGAACCAGGAGTCTGCCTGCAGGTTTCCATAGTGCTTGAGAATTCACAACACTGCATCCAGATTTAAGGAGATGTCCAGTCCACTCGTTCACTGCATTCTCCACAGACCTTAAGAGAAAGAGCAGAGGCATCAGGACCCTGCTCTTGGTGAGACTTCTGAGCGTCAGGCAATGGAGGTATTCCTCACCCTACCCTGCCCTCTCTCCTTCCCAGCCCCATGTCTTACTTCAGGGCCAGGTGACTCTTATCTCTGACTCGCGGTTTCAGTGTGCTGAGTGCCTCTACTTGGTTGGTATTTCTTAAGAAAATTGTGTTGTGAAAACAGCTTGAGGCGACCACATTTCCTCCTCTGCAGAAGACATCACCTCCTGTAACTGTCACACCTTCTGCAGGTCTGTGTGGGCAGGGGTTCCTCTAGACCAGTGGTTCTCAACCTTCCTAATGCTGCGTGTTGTGGCGACCCCCCTAAAGTCATGTTCATTGGTACTTCATAACTAGTTTCCTTCTATTATGATCTGTAATGTAAATATCTGAATGCAGGATCGTGACTCACAGGTTGGGAACCACTGCATTAGGCCTTTAGGCTGCAAGGAGGCCTGTGGGTGGAGCACACAATAGTCACATGTTGTCTTCTAATGCCACGGCCCTATGCAGTGATCACAGTTGTGTGTCTGTATTACCCTGTTTGTGAAATGCTACAAAATACCCTGCAGTTTCCCTGTATGAGCCATGGTCATAGCAGCGCTGTTTCTGAGAGGCGTGCATCACTGTGATTCAGCACATCTCAGCAACCCCTTCTGGGAAATGAGACGTTCTCAGAGCCAGATTCTTTGGAAGTCAGGCTGTGGGGGAGATGTGGAGTGAAAATTCAGCTCTGTGTGGAGGAGCCTCTGGAAACCCAGGAGAGGGGTCTGAAAGGAGGCTGTGCACAGCTGGCCAGGGTCTGGGCCCATGGAGGCGTCCTGAACCAGGCTCTGGGTTTGAGTCTGTACAAGTGAAGACAAGCTGGGCCTGAGACTGCTGAAGATCAGGGATGGATGGGGAGGAGAGAGGAAAGCTGAGTCTGGGGCCCCTACTAATTCAGGGAACTGTAGCACAATTAATAAAAACCCAGAGCAGATATTGGGGTTCAAGCTGAAGACCAGAAAAGCAAAACAGCCAAGCCACTAGTGAAGTCTTACCTCTACCAAGGCTGGGCGACTGCAGACTGAGCCCTGAGCCTTTGTCTCCTCCCATCATATATTCCCCTCTAGTGCTGGGATTAAAGGTGTGTGACTTCCTAGTACTGGAATTAAATGTGTGAGCCACCATCACCTGGATCTGTTTCTGCATTGTTCTTAAGTATTAAGTAACTCAGGGTGGCCTTGAACTGCCTCTGTCTCCCAAATCCTGGGATTAAAGGTGTGTGGCACATTGCCTAACCTCTTGTGACTTAGCTTTGCCCTTCTGATATTCAGGCAAGCTTTTATTTATTAAAACACAAATATCACTATAGGGAACTTACCAGGAAATGGAAGGAAGAGGAAAGTCAGGAGAAAGCTTGAGTGTCAGTCCATTGAGAACTGTGGAAACCTCTGTCACCTCTTGCGTCATTTCCTCAGCCCACAGGAAGCCATTCTCGCCTCACAGCAACTTACTGTCATTAGCCATTCAGCCGGTCATGTTACCCATTTCACCTGCACCCCTCTGCTGCTCAGTGTTGCTTTTAGTGAATCAGACAGAGCCCCAGGCTTCAGGCTGTGTTCTTGGTGGGAATTAAGAGCAGATGGACCAGCTTTAACTTAGGCAGAGGCTGGTCCTCCCCAGGGGCTCTCAGAACCCTGACTTTTTGTGTCTCTATGGGAACTACAGCTTCATGAAGGTGTCCCTGCTCCTGACCGCTTACTCCTCCCCAATCTGGACTGGGATGGTAGCTCCGTGGTGGAGTGCTGGCCTCACAAGCCCATAGTTCTCATTCAGTACATCCTGTCCTCCCCCACCTACTGTGGAGTTGCCAGTTCCTGTCCCCACCCCCACACTGGTGTGGGGAAAATGGCCATCTTCTCCGTGGGGATTCCCTGGGACATGCATGCACTTTGCTGTCTGCAGAGGTGAGAGCAGGAAGGGAGGGAGCAGACTCCCAGGCTGGTCAGGTGAGCGTCAGCACTTTTGCAGAGGGCTGTGGCAGGAAACTGGGACATTGCAGGGAATGTCTAGGGGTTGCCATAGAATAGGGCCCTAGGAAGGGTACTGTAGTCCAGGTCTCCAAGGGTCATCACGAAATGCCTAAAAAGAATGAAAGACACCCTCCAGGCAGACTTTCTCTTCCCACTGCAGTTGCCAGACAAAGAACAGGCGCCATGCTCCGAGCAGCCCCCAGCGCCCTGTTTCTCCCTAGGCTCCCTGTATACTAATGTTAGGGCATGTCCCCTGCTCTCCTTCTAGAGGCTTCCTGAATGCAGCTGTCAGGGCACATACTGAAGAGAATCCAGCAGCTATACTTTGGGTGAAGTGTTTTTAAAAACCAAACCAAACAAAAAACAGGCAAAAGTAAATTGAAGCTGCAGTCGCTGTAAAAATATACTCAGGACTGGAGAGGTGGCTCAACAGTTAAGATCACTTGCTGAGTTCTTTTCTCAACACCCACATGGCAGTCCACAACCATTCATAACTCCAGTTCCAAGGGTTCTGGCACCCTTTCCTGACCTCCATGGGTATCAGGCCTGTACATGGTAAACATATATATGTAGGCAAAGTGCTCAAACACATAAAATTTAATAATCAAATAAATAAATAAGCAAGCATACCCAGCCAGGAAGCCGCTTCTTTTTCAGACAGTGATGACTTTTAAATATCATTTCTACACAAGACCCCACTAGAAATCATTTCTGCAGCATGGTCTCCCATGGTCTCCATGTAGAGACCTTTTCTACCCCTGCACCCTCCAGCTCCTCTAAAGTCCTTGAGTAGGCAGGGGTTTGTCACAAGCCCTGGGTTTTCATGGTAATAGGTACCTTGCCACATCCGAGAGTGTGATAGCGGTTGCTCCTGCGGGGCCTCACGACCTCACTGCCAGCCCACACAGGAAAAAGACCTGCACCTGCTGAGCATAGCTGTGGATACAGCTGGTTGCTTGTTTCCTGGTTAAGCTTAGAACGACCATGCCCTTACTCAAGTTGGGTCTGTGAGAGGCCTGCCTTCAGGAAGTCTATAGAACAGCTGACTTTTCTGAAGTAAAGAGTAGACCTTCCATCCCTGTGTGCCCATGGACTAACGTGAGTACTAACAGGTGGTAAGTGCCTGCTATATTTTGACTGTCAGGTGCTGACCAATGTCTTCTTTGCTTTTTAGCCATATGTGTTACTACTGCCAAAACAGGTGACTCTTTTATCCCTGGCTCGGGCATTTAGTGTCGTGACACAGTAGCTAGAGAGTGGCCTGAATTCGTGGTGCCTGAACTTTTTTCTTTTGCTTATTAGATCCCCTTTCCAAATGAAATCTTAAGGAGAACCCCAACATCTAAGTGAAGAGAGCAGCCACTGTGCTTTTCCTCCTCCCCCGCCAGCAGTCCCCAGGCATCTCCTGGAACCCTAAGACCCAGAGCAAGGGTCTGGCCACCAGAACTCCATGTATCCTCTAGTGACTGGGAGCTGGCCATGCTGACCTTCCTTAAAGAGTTTTCCTTTAGAGTAACAGCTCTGTGTCATGGGTGCTATTCCCTCAGCACTTGGTGCTTAAGACATAAGCTGTGTGTTGTTCTCCCGACAGCAGCCCCTGTTCCTGTCACCCTCGAGGCTCTTTTACAGAGCATTCTGGAGCCTTTCCCACTGACACTGACAGCAGTCAAGTCAGTGAGCTGCCTACAAAGTGAGAGCCTCTGAGAAGACATTCCCAACCAGGACATCCGTCTCCAGGGGCAGTCGCTGCCCAGGATTCTTGGGCCCTGTTGTCTTGGCCAGCTTTTTGTGGAGACCAGTCCTAAGCAGTCCTGGACAGTGCTGGTTCTATTAGAAACTAATTTTCTTCTTGGCCGTCAGTAGTTATCAGTTCTAGTCAACCTGTGTTTTCATAGTGATATAGTGAACACTGTTAAAAAGACATGTAAACCGAATTGGTTATAATGAAATAGCATGAAGTTCTGTTCCCAAACGTTCGTTATTCTCAGATGTTGCCACTGGGAAGAATACAAGATGTTTGGCTTGTTAGGATTATTTCTTTAATCAGGGTGTAAAACAAGTGTTACCTTCCTGTTTATTAGATGACTTGAGTTACTATTTTTATTACTTTATGACATTTTTATTTCCTACCCTTACCTGTTTTTCTAATTTTGAAACAATTAACATGTTGCTTGAAGCAGATACTATTTAAGCTATAAATATTGTTATTTCCAAATAAATCTTGAGCATCATATTATTTCAAGCTGCAACATCTCCAGAAGTTACATTTTTTAAATTATGTTATTTGTATGTATGAGTGTTTGGCTCTGTGTGTGTGTAGTGTGTGTGTGGCATGTTTGTAAGTATTCCACATGACCACAGTACCTGTAGAGGCCAGAAGAGGGCATCACATCTCCTGAAACTGGAATTACAGACTAGTGAGCTGCCACGTAGGTGCAAGGAAACTGAACTGAGATCCCCTCTATAGGAGCAGTCAGTGTTCTTTATCCCTGAGCCAGCTCTCCGATTCTCAAAGCTTACATTTTAAAGAAAAGTTTTGAACTTGAACCATGTTTGGGTGTCGTTGCTTTTGCCTTGTGAGTTTGCTGAGATCCTGTTCTGTGATAAAACTTACTTTTTCACTGTCACAGTTTGCAGTTTGGAAAACATGTTCATATCAGTAGTTTCTCCGTTTCCCTAGAGGAAACAGAGTAAATAGAGTGTACAAAGCTGATCCTTGCTTTCCTATTTTCAAATAGCAGTTTAATCCTGGAAACTGTTCCTTATCAATACAGGTGAGTGGATCCTGTCACGTCGTTACTGATGTATAGACTAGAGGGGTATTGTGCCTTTTCTCTCCCCCTGAACCAACGGTTAATTTTGGTAGCCTTGAAACACATCACCACCTTACTGTGAGAAGCATGGCTCTACTTTAGAAGACAGCACACGAGCACAAAAGCCACCCACACCATGATTTTATATAGCATGCATCAAAATGTGCTGTTAACATATGGCTGGTAGTCTTATGTAGTGTGGCAAATCAGTGTTCTATGTGGGATGACAGGTTTCCTGGGAAAGTTTGGGGTAACTGACAATTGTTTACCTTTCTTTCAGATATAATTTCCCAGCACCCAAATCCTTCTGCGGAAAAAGCCAGAACTGTGCTCGCGGTGGAAGCTGCCCCTGGAGAGCTGGTGGGAGACCGAGCTGCTCGCCAGCCAGCCCCAGGGCTTCCGAATTCCATTAACTTTTACTCTCTGAAGCAGTGGGGTAATGAGCTCAAGTGAGTCTTTGGGAAGTAGCATATGCTATTGAAGATGGGTTTCCTTTGATAATGAGTTATAATGTGGGTTATATGTTTATATGTGACATCATAAAGCCACTTTACATGTATGAAGGGTCTTTGTGCTTTGCAGCACTTTCACACATAGGTCATTTTCTTAAACAGTATGCCTGCTGTGTTTCTGTTCTTTTTTTTTTTTTTGGTTTTTCGAGACAGGGTTTCTCTGTGGCTTTGGAGCCTGTCCTGAAACTAGCTCTGTAGACCAGGCTGGTCTCGAACTCACAGAGATCCGCCTGCCTGTGCCT